AAAGATTATTTTACCTGGGAAAAAAAATATTTTACGTCGAAACAAACGGAGCCCTAATAAAAAAATAAAATAAAACAAGTACTTTTAAAAAGCCTTTAAGTGCCCCTTCCCTATCATTCTAGGTTCAAATTTTTTCCTCTTAACTCCACTAACTACTAATTCTCCTTGCCAGGTGAAATATTATATATATATACAGCAAACAGTACATGTTTATACTTTTACATCAAACATTACATACTCATACTCTTCTTGCATACCGTGTGCGTATGTCTCATATTCTTCTCGCATAGGTATGTTTTTCATTCCGGGACCTGTTTGCTTTGTAATTCTAAAAACAGTGCTCAGAAAATAGAGAACATTTTTCAGAAAATTATAAAAAACAGTTCAAAAAAAAAAAAAAAAAAAAAAAAAAAAAGCAAGCCTTTATAGCCGAGTTTTCAGAAAACTGAACCAAACAGAGTTTTTGTATAATTTTCTGATTTTTAATTATCTAAAAACTGTATTTTCAGAATAACAAACCTAGCAACCCTAATATTTCCTCTAAATCAGCAAATATTGGCAACTGATCAATATTTCCCAAATTGACGGGCTTGGAGACTATGGAATGAAGAAAGAGAATTGGAGCTTATGACCCATCGTGGGAGTTGTAAGATGCATTCATATAGTGCTCTTGTGCGTCCATGAAGATCCCATAGACAAACCTACTATGTAAATGTGGTTATTCTTTTGGGAGGTGAATGAATAACACTTCCAGAACCACGACAACCTGCATTTTTCGCGGGGAGAGTTCAAGTTACCGTTTCTAGTATATTACGGAAATAATTGTTAACTTTTCAAATTGTGGCATACTGTTAGGGATGACAATGGGGCGGAGTTGGGGCGGAGTTAGCTAAACCCTACTCCATCTTGTTAAAAATTTTGTCATACTAACTCCACCCCCACTGACAGGTTTGTAATTGGTATACCATCTCCGTCCCTACTTCGGCAAACAAAGTATCGACTCCGTTCTGCGTACTCTGTTTAATTACGGAGTTGGAGCGAGTTATGCTACTTTTATTATTAAAAAAAAAAAACCCTACTAAACTGGTCCAATGTGCTCAAATTTGGATGATATATAATTTAGCTCTACTTTTAAATTACTAAGTAGTAAATATTAATATATTAACTAATACTTGCAGCAAAATATATATATTTTAAAGGTACATCGGTAATTGGAATGGAGACTGAGTTATCACTAAATCCACCTTCGCCTCAAACTCGTTTCGGGTTTAATTATTTTACCATATTCGCCTAAACTAATTCAAAGGACTACCAAATTCGCCCTATTAAGAGTGAAACGAAAACCCGCCAAATCAGAAGAAATTACCATCCCTGCACACTATCATTGTTAAATTGCGCTAAGTTCTAATTTAATGGTGCAATTTCTCTCTGACTACTACCTTACCAATAATCTTGAAATGTGACACTTTACCCTTTTTATTCGAAAACATTTCCCAATGATCAAAATAAGCCTAAAACTCTCTCCATAGACCGAAGGAGGTAAAATGTCAAAAGTTTACGTCATGAAACATGAGGGTGGCTCCGAAAATTTGACAGTTTTTTTATTCCATTTTGGCTGAAGAGTCAACATTTTTTTGCCCGTCAATTTTCAATTGTTGTGGTGGATCTATCAATTAGAAACGGTAAGCGATGAAAGGTCAATCAACCAGAAGGGATGGTGGATTTCCACTCGAATTGTGACAAAAAATCTAATTGTTTATCATTCCTCCTCACTTTTTATTAGGCCAAATTGATCTATTGGCTATTGCCCAAAATACACCGATTTGGTCAACCGGTGGTAATTTCTTGTCATCAATAATTTGGGGTTATGGTTGGGATTTTTAGAGAGTTACATCTTGAAGTGCAAACAAAGATCATGAGTTAATGTTGGGGTGTTGATCCTAAGATTTTTATTGCTACAAGATGAACCTCGGTTGGCTCTCATAGGTTGTAATTTTCGTTTAATTGAGAGTTTGTTAATAAATTTGAAAGTAATGACTTTGTGATGTTTTTGGTTATTAGAGATGTCGGTGCTTGTTTGGTTGGTGAAAAGGGTGTGGAAGAGCGAAGATGATGAAATCTTAATTTGATGGTGGTGGTAAAACTAGAGAGAGAAAAAAATTAAGAGAGGAGAAAAAATAAATTTTAGAGAGAGGCATAAATATAGTTTAAATGAATACGGTGTGAATGAAAAATTAAGACGACAAGGGGTAATTTTGTCCTTTCAGAATGGTCACATTGGTCATTTTAGATGATGTGCATGGGTAAGTGTGTCATGTCATCATGTACAAGGTATTTTGGTATTTAGCCTTATCAATTCCTCGTTGGGCTTTCCGTCAACGGTTAGTTTACCCTAATTTTTAGTTTTGAATAAAGTTTAGGGTAAAGTGCAAATAACCCCCCTTATCTTTACTCTCTCTCTCAAGAAACCCTCCTAAACTTCTATTTTAAAAATAAACCCCTTAAACTATCTAATTTTTTGCAAAAAAAAGCCAGGCTACACTATTCCGTCATCCAATTATCATGTGACCTGGGCTATATTTTCAAAATGACAGTGCTACCCTTATTACTGTTTCGATAATTAAAGAATAAAAACACAAATTATCCATTTGTTAACCCTAATTTTCGTTCATAAATCATCACCTCTCTGTGGAAGTCTCACCATGGTCACACTCTGCAATCCACTCAAAACTAAATAACTCCAACTGCATGTTCCACGTTCAAACCCCAATATGAACTATTCTTCCTCCACCATTAACACTGTAAGAACCCTTTTAACATTTGTGGGTTCTCTTTGTTTTCCAAAAAACCAAGTACGTGTTGAATTAGCTATTCCTTACCCTCATTTTATTGGATCGGACAAATCAATATGGTATACAAGATCCCTGATCTAACATCTAACAGGCCTTTGTTCAATTATATATATATATATATTGCGATATTGAGGGTTGCAATAGAAAGTTCCCTTGTGCAATAGGTTTTTAAGGGGGAGGAAAATATTGATGACAGAGGGATCTATTAAAAAAAAAATTAAATTGATGCAGAGACGAGGTAGATACAGTATTAAGATGATTGTTGAGTGGTGGTGTGGGGAGGCGCCGACGATGGTGGAAATTGCCGAACACACACAAATTTTAGGGCCAAGCCACGGAAAGAAACAAACAAACGCTAAATCAATAATTTGGAAAAAAAATAAAAATAAATACCCAACAATTTTAGGCTACCAAGAGCATAATGACTTCCATTAAAACGGGTGAGAGCCCAACATCAAACTTCATGACCACCGGCGAGAAGCTTTAAGAATCTACGACGCAATCACAATAACCCCGTTGAAATTTATTGAAGAACCAGCTCGTCGACTGCCGAAGGTTGCAATTGGTAGGCGATATCGTCGGCAACAGAGAAGGAAAACGTAACACAGAGTGTAGAGAAAGAGACAGAGCGTAGAGAAAGAGAGAAAGAGAGAGAGAGTTCTGTAGAGAGACCGTGTTTGGGGCTAAAATAAGTACTCTAAGGACGTGTTTGGCAGTTGTGTTAAGGGTTATTGGTGATAAGGTGATGTGTTGTCCTAATAGTATTGGATGTTCAAATTGCATTTGCCACGTCAACAACATCAGGTGCTAAAACAATTAAACGGCAGCGTTCCACTAAAGGGTAGTCTAGTAATCTAACATTTTGGATGACCTCCGGTGACCCTGATATTTGATTTTGTCCTTAAAGTGAATTTTTTTGATAGTTTAGGGGGCAATTATTAGTTAGGGGGGTTTTGTGAAATTGACTAAAAGATAGGGGGTTATTTGCACTTTACCCTAAAGTTTATTTGCATTTTTTTTTTTTTTTTTTTTAATCATCACCTTGCATTTGCTGATGTAAATCTCAATTATCATCGTACGTATTTTTCACGTGGAAAAAAATTGTACACAACATTCGAGATAAAGCATGTAAAAACAAAAATTATGCAAAACCTTCTTACTATTCATGTCCCCACAACACAATATTCTCATCCCACTAATTTCTGGAGCCCACATCATCCAGTCAAATCATTCAAGCCAGCCAAACAAGGGTTTCAAAACATGTGACTCTTGTTCCTATTTTCATGTCATTTCTCTCTCTTTCTTTATTTATTTACTTTTTAATTTTTTTTTCTTTTCCAGTGAATGACTGCCGCGAATGTCTTTTCACTGTCAGCGACCTGAACTGGTGAAGAACTAGGTTTCTCAGAGTTACAATTGGAGGGGATTGCAAAAATATAGTAGATGTTCGACAAGCAGATCATTCCTCTGTTGATTAGTGTTCTTTCTTTGTCGGATTAAGGGAAAAAAAAAAAAGTATCTGTTTTTTTTTTTATTATTATTTTTCATTACAATTTTATTTATTTATTATATATATTTTTTTAAAGTTAAAATAATCAAATTCCACCGGTCACAGGGGTAAAGTTAAGATTTTATTTCAAAGAACACAACGTACTTATTGAGAAAAATGATACTAAATTTATTTCAGAAGTCACGAAAATATGTGATAACTGTATTGGATTGTTTTTTTTTAGTTGATCGATTTAGTCAATTTATGTATAATTAAAAAAAAAAAATATTTTTCATTTTCAACAGCGAATTCCAAATATAAAAGAGAATAAGTAATTTTTTTTAACCCACAAATTCAAAAAGTTTGAGAAGGTGATGGACCTACCGAGTGCAGTGGTAGGTCTCACACCACCCATTTTTATTTTTTTTAAAAGAAAAGTGAAGCTAATCTCACACCACCTTCCCTTCACTTTCTGAAGCACAATCAAATCATAATAATATAATACATATATGGTGATGGACCTACCGAGTGCAGTGGTAGGTCTCACACCACCCATTTTTTTATTTTTTTTTATTTTTTATTTTTTTAACGAAAAGTGGAGCTAATCTCACACCACCTTCCCTTCACTTTCTGAAGCACATTCAAATCATAACATATATTGTTCTATGTTTATTACTCATTAATAAAAAAACATATTTGGGTGATCGCAGACTAAAAGTAATTAAAAATAATTTGATCACCACAATGCTTTCCTTCAATATCTCAAGAACCCTCCTCTTTCTTTGCACCCTTTGCTTGCTTGTCCTCTCAATTGAAAAAGTTAGCTCTGGTATTCCTAATTTCTGCTCAAGTACAACCACTAATACCACTCTTAACAGCACCTATCAAGCCAATCTCAATCTCCTCCTCTCTACACTGTCAAACGCCAGCACAGCCAACAGATTCTACAACTCTTCAGTCGGCCATGACCCTCCAAACATAGCTTACGGCCTCTTCCTTTGTCGCGGTGACACCACCCCCCAGAGATGCCAAGATTGTGTGGTCAATGCAAGGATAGGGATGGTACAAATGTGCCCAAATGGAGAAATGGCTCAAGTTTGGGCAGAGAAGTGCTTGATTCGTTACTCGAACCAATACAACTTCTCAAGATCGGAGTATAAGTGTAACGAACAGAATGTCACGGAAGTGAAGAGATTTAGGCAGGTGTTAGGAGAGATGTTGGAAGACTTGGCCACTCTGGCTGCAAATGATCAATCTGGTATGAAGTTTGCTACTAAGAAAACCGAATTCATGGCACAAGAAGAATTGTACAGCCTTGCACAATGCATGCCGGATCTATCTGTTGATAATTGCTACGAGTGTCTTCGAGAAGCTACCTCGTATGTGACAAGCCGCTGTGAGGAAAGGAGAGGTGCAAGAGTTTTGTTTCCAAGCTGTAATATTCGCTACGAGTTTTATCGCTTCTATAGCAACTTAGGTAGCCGCGCTCCTCCGCCAGGTAAAATCCTCGTGTTCATCATCCAACTTATACATCCTATCTTTTTAGATTGTATATGAGAGTAGTGAATAGGGGTTTTGAAATTGGAATCCGAGGGAATTTAGTTCATTAACCTTTTTTTTTGGGAAATGAAAAGAGTTGAAAATATTTGCTTTCTGAATCATCATTACAGTGTTAGCGAAATCAATTATTAAGAAGCAATATATTTTTTTTTTTTTTTTTTTTTTATGGGTTCGAATAGAATGAACTAATTTTTGGTTGATGCAGGAAAAGATGGAGTCAGTACATCAGTAATAATTGTTGCTGTTGTTGTTACAATAATTGTCATGGTGATGCTTTTTTCGATTGGCTTCTGGTGCAAAAGGAGGAAAGCAAGGAAGAGAGACTATGTCATAAGAAAAAAGAATGGTAGTAATCGCAACTACAAATGTGTGTGAACCATTTGTTATGTAGTAGTAATCGCAACTACAAATATCAGTACATTTACTTTATGGTTGTATAGTTGCAGGTGAGATAGAAACTGTGCAGTCCATGCAATTTGATTTGGAAACCATCAGAGCCGCCACAAATGACTTTTCTGATGATAACAAAGTTGGTGAAGGTGGATTTGGCGTTGTCTACAAGGTAAGAATCGAGTTTCAAGAATGCCATATGCAATTCCAAATTTTCACGTGTTTTTGAATTTTTTGAACTAGTGAAAATTTCATTCTTTATCTACATACTTAGGGAACACTTCCTTACAATGGACAAGAGATAGCTGTGAAAAGGTTATCTAGAAGTTCCACGCAAGGTGCAAAGGAATTTAAGAATGAGGTTGCATTGGTAGCCAAACTACAGCACAGGAATCTAGTGAGGCTGTTGGGATTTTGCTTGGAAGGAGAAGAAAAGATACTCGTTTACGAATTCGTTTCAAACAAAAGCCTTGACTACTTTCTATTTGGTATGAACTTTTCAACACATATAAGAGCAATTTAATGCACAAAACTCTTGCTTTTTATAAGAGCAAGATCTTAGAAAGTGCATATATATATTACACTAAAATTATGTGCTTAGTGATAGTTACTGTATTGGTCCCCTGCTATATGCTCTGACTCATCCCTATCAGAAAGAAGGGGATTTTTATTCTAGTCGAGGTAGGGATGAGTTTCTTGAGAAGACTCAAAAAGCTGCTTTGTCCTTAACCATTCTCATTAGTAATAGACACACTGATTAGTCTATTGTAGGAAGGTTTTCTTTCTGTTTTTTTTATGATTTTTGAGATTTCCTTGGTATAAATTTGAGAATTTCATTTAGGTTGTGTTTGGGAACTTGCATGAATTTGAAATACCTAGATTTCCAGATTTGTTAGTTGGATTTAAAGAAATGCTTTGGAGCATTTCGAGTTCTACAACTTCACAGACATTTGTTCTTATCAAAATAAATAAATAAATAAATAAAATAAAATCACAGACACTAGTGTCTTTTGAATATATGCCTATTTGATGGTTTTGGAACATATTATAATGCTGTGATATAAAATAATAGTCCTTGATGCTAGCTTGTCTATCAATGTGTAGATCCGGAAAGAGGAAAACAATTGGATTGGCCAACACGATACAAGATTATAGGAGGCATAGCTAAAGGAATTCTTTATCTTCATGAAGATTCTCGACTTAGAATTATACATCGTGATCTAAAGGCTAGCAATATACTACTAGATTTGGATATGTATCCAAAAGTTTCAGATTTTGGAATTGCAAGGATCTTTGGTGTTGATGAAACTCAAGGGAAGACGACTAAAATTGCTGGAACATAGTAAGTTCTGAAGCCCTCGATTTACTGCATCTGTTTTCCTCTAGTTTAATGGATGAAATTATAATTGTCTGATCTCAATCGGAACTTTTAAGAAGGAAAAGGCAGGCGAGCATAGGAATTTTTTATACCAAACTTCCTTGTTGTGTTCTCACTTTTGATTCTGTGATGGTGTTGGTTTGTAGTGGTTATATGTCTCCAGAGTATGCAATGCATGGGAAATTCTCCATAAAGTCGGACGTTTATAGCTTTGGAGTCTCAATATTGGAGATTATAAGCGGCAAGAAGAACAGTAATTTCTTCCAATCAGACAGTGTTGCTGACGATCTTCTGAGCTATGTAAGTGCAAAGTAAACGTTGCTGTTGGTATTTTTCTTTGTCAATGCTAATATGCATCTCAACATTGAAGAACAAAAGTAATACATATATATATTCTAAATCACTTGAGATATTGTGTCACAGACTTGGAAACATTGGAGAGAAGGGACACCCTTGGCATTGATGGATCCAACTCTGGCAGATTCTTGTTCAAAGAATGAAGTCATTAGATGCATCCATATTGGCTTATTGTGTGTTCAAGAAAACGTGGATGCTAGGCCTTCTATGGCATCTATACTTTTCATGCTCAACAGTGAGTCGGTTACCCTACCGTTGCCTCAGAAACCTCCACTCATTGTTCACAGCAGAACAGAGTTGGGCATTCCAAATGTGCTTGAGCCGTGGTCTTTGAATGAAGCATCAATTACTGAACTATGTCCAAGATAATGTTAAAAAGTTCATGCAATCCGGGAAGGGTATTTTTGGAAATGAAAAGATAGAATGTTGTGTTTGGGAACTAAACATAACAAAAATGTATTTCTACTGTAATGGTCTATCCCCAATATGATATTGTTGTCTAGGTACAACATTTGCTATTTTCACATGAAAGCTGACCTTAAATTCAAGTGTAAGAGAAGAATCAATATTACTGTTTTAACAAGCCTTCCTTGTCTTCCGATTCATCCGGTGTTATTCTTGGGGCGAGACTTTTACACCCTAAGTTTGTAATATAGAATGGGTTCAAGGAGCCTTGTCTAGTGAGTTCACGATATTAACTTAAAAAAATATTATTGTCTTAAGCGCCAATTCTACATTTAATGCGTTTTTTCTTGAACGGGTTTTTGACTGCATCTTAGTTTGGGTTGAACAGTGGGGTTTAACAGAATCTGTAAATCTCATTCGTCATCTTTGTGTTTAGTGTGGTATGGTATTTAATTAATTGAAAAAAGGAAAAAAAAATTAATGCACAAATGATTGATATGAGAGCATGATGAGGACTAATTAATGTCATCTCTGTAGCCAAGTCAAGTTCGAAGACTTCATCAAAAGACTCGAGATGTTGAGTGATGCTGTTCCCACGTGAAGGAGTTCCATTCCAAAATGAATACTACCTCGGTCTCTTGCATCTTTAGTTTTATAATTTTTAAGGGAGAAATATAATTAATGTATTGTCTTTTTTTTAAATTATTAAATTATTAATTTTAATTTAAATATACATAATTACAAAATTTGAATTTTTTTAAAAAGATATAGGACAATAATGAAAATATAAAAAAAAATTGATTTGACTTTTTAAAAAGAACAACTAATTTAGAACATGTAAAAAAAGAAAAATAAATTACTAATAAAAAACAACAGAGGGAGTATATATGTATATACTTACAAATTAATATAATTAAGCATGCATTAGTTGCGAGAAACTTTTAAACAATGATTATTATTTTGCAACAATAATCCGGATAGTCCAAAATGCACGGTGACTGATGAGTTGCTTGACTCCCATCCTGTCTCTCCCTTTCTTATACTTAATTGGTATAGACATCATGGAGGACTAAACGCCATTTTCAACTGGAGCTGCAAGACTTCATCAATGGAGTCAAGATGATGAATGATGGTGTTCCATGCGAAGGAGTTTCATGGAAAGACTACAAAACGAATATGTATATATATATATATATATATATATATATATTTGTTTGTGAGAAATTGGGAAGTTTCCCACACCTTTCATCATAAATATCCGGGCCTCATTTTCCATATCGACCAACTTCAGTTTCTCAACACTAGTAGAGGAAAGATTTTCCTTGACTTTTATTTTATTATTATTATTTTTCAAAAGTTCAAGAATCCCATTTAAAAAAGAAAGCTTATATCATATTGGTTAGTGCGATATTCATGCTATGTGAATTTTCTTATCACAAATAAGCTGATTTTGATTAAGTAACCTTAGCGAGCCCACCTTAGACATTCCATTTTATTTATTTATTATTATTTTTTTATGTGTTTGGGTCATTAAAGCCATGAGGACCCTTGATCTGTCAATAAAGGGAACATAAAAGGGGCTTTGCACCCTTTTACAATATGAAGAAAGAAACATGAATTGAAATACCGATTGGAATGTCTCGCCGTCTAGCTGTCGATGTCGTCCGCTTCCAAGACCACCGTATTCAACTACTATAGCTTCTTCTTCTTCTTCCCTAAGAGCTAGGGTTTGCTACCGGATCAGTGCTACAAACAACTACCATTAACGGCACACATCAATACCGTTAATTTTGGTTACGGAGTATTTGTTTTGTTATGCTGGGCCTATCCTATTGGGTTACTCATTTGTTGTTTTCAGCCTCTTCTGGGCTCTGTTGCCCTGTTCTTGGGCTTGGGCAAAGGCCCACCTTCATGTAATTATATATATATTTTTGTCATTTTATCCATATAATCATAAATAAATTATTAATTTGGAATTTAGAGCTAGATGTTTGTTATTTTTTAATTTTATATTATTTTTTAACTGACCCATAATATATTTAGATTACATTGAATTTCAATTATTACAAAATCACCCAACCGTATTATTCAAAACGTATCCTTATCGTGTCTCAACCGTATCCGATTAAAATATTTAGGATACTTCTAGTTATATCCGACACATATCCGAGCTATATTTAAGAAAAGTATCCGTACTTCCTAAATTGCAAGCTATTTTTTTTTCATAACATTGCATTTGCTGATGCAAATCATAATTAATCAAAGAAAAGAAGACGCAAAACCAAATTAATCAATAAAAGTTTGTGTTCTTCCAAAATTGTTTTTCTCTGCCCATTATATTTGATACTGAGGCACAAGTAATAGTCTCGGCCATTAATGGCCCAAATGGGTCTAGTTGAGCTCCAACATATGTGCTAAATATAACTGTATTTATGATGTGAGGGTTTTCCTTTCAAGGGAATTTATTCTTCTGGTGAGGCAGCTCATGTTATTCACAATTCTTTCATTAATATGAACATTGAGAATATGTAATGTTGAAGGTTCAAGTTAATTCCATGTTTGAATTTTGATTAATGAATTTATTTATCTTTGTCAAAAAATAAATAAATAATAATAATAAAAATAACCCATCATACTTTTCACGTGCTGAAATTAAATGACACTAATTGTGGCCATAGAACTAAAGCTGGAAAAAATTGTACCACACTTTATAAAGCATGAAAAAACAAAAAATTATGATATTAAGTTTGTGCTTCCATGATTCATGTTCCCCACAATATTCTCATCCATGGCATTGAGTGTCACTCTCATGTTCGGACTTGGGGGATGAACAGTACAGAACTAGGGTAGGGTTTTTATGTACCTCTATATATATATATGAGATATTGTTTATACCACTATACGCCCGATAACTTCAGAAAGCGAATCAATTGCAGTGCTTGCCACCTCTCATGACAGGGTCTCATGAACAGACCCAAGAAGGTTTCAAAAACATCATTACCTTTCCTTCCAGTACCCTATTCCAATTTACATGTACTGTAATTTCTCTCCCCTCATTTTCTACTGCTACAGAAAATTTTAAAGCAACCTTGTCGACTGCCATGAATGTCTTTTACGCCTGTCAGCTGACGTAATCAAGAACCAAGGCTTCATAAAGATCATAATTGAAGGACATCGCACAAAAAAAGGTTGTGGATAATGAAATTGGAATTTAGGCCCACAAGTGTGAATGTGTGGCCTCAATGGCTTCTATCCCTCGTTGACGTTGATTTTTCCTCTTTTGAACAAGTGTTGTTCTATCGTTTGGCGGGCTAATTAACAAAAGTTACTAAATATTAAGTTGCATAAAAAAATATCACTGTTTTTTAAGAAATTGTAACTTTCACAAGTTAAACTGATACGGTTTTTTGAAAGATGACACTATTTTAGAGATAGAAATAGTATTTGACTTCGTTATTTAATATTAAATAAATATTTATAATTATTATTTTAAAATCTAAAAAATGCACTTTTATAATAATAATATTTAATATTAGATGAATTGTTATCTAACTATCAACCTATGACACATTTTTCATCTTCAATATTATTTTTATAATTTATAAATAATAATTATAATTTTTAATTCAATATTATATAATAAAATTAAACTTGACCATTTCACAACTAATTTAAAATAGGTGGATGCCTTATGATTTTAACCCTTTTAAAAAAAAAATTGATAATTTGTTTGACTCTAAAGTGATTGGCGTGCTAGTGGTAGGTCTCATACCATTTTCCCTTCACTTTGACAACCATATCCGAATGAAGCAGGTTCATTCAAAATGCGTATAATAAGTTCTATCATGTATGTATATTAGTCCTTGATAAAAACAGCTTTAAGTGATCACAAACTACAAATTTCATCACCACAATGTTGTTTTCCATCAATATCTTAAGAAACCTTCTCTTTGTTTGCATCCCTTGCTTGCTTGGCCTCTCAATTGAAAAAGTTAGCTCTAGTATTCCTTTCCATTTCTGCTCAAACACAACAACCAATACTACTCTTAACAACACCTATCAAGCCAATCTCAATCTCCTCCTCTCTACACTGTCAAACGCCAGCACAGTCAACAGATTCTATAACTCTTCAGCTGGCCATGACCCTCCCAACATAGCTTACGGCCTCTTCGTTTGTCACGGCGATGCCACCCCCGAGATGTGCCAAGATTGTGTGGCCAATGCAAAGCGAGACATAGTACAGATGTGCCCAAATGAAGAAATAGCTCAAATTTGGAAAGACGAGTGCTTGTTACGTTACTCGAACCGATATATCTTCTCCGCCAAGGATACATCATCAACAAAATGTGTGTGTAATGCACAGAATGTCACGGAAGTAGAGAGATTTAGGCAGGTGTTAGGAGACACACTGGAAGCCTTGGCTACTCGGGCTGCGAATCATCAATCAGGTTTGAAGTTTGCTACTAATATAACAAAATTCATGGCGCAACAAGATCTGTACAGCCTTGCAGAATGCACACCAGATCTATCTGTTGCTGATTGCTCTAAGTGCCTCCGAGAAGCCATCTCGTATCTTCGAAGTCACTGCAAGGGAAGCCGAGGGGGACAAATTATGTTTCCGAGCTGCAGTTTTCGGTACGAGTTTTATCTCTTCTATAGGATCATAGGGAGCCACCCTCCCGTGCCAGGTAAATTCCTACTCTTCATCATCCAACTTTAACATCTGTTCTGCTGCTTGGGTGTGTACTGAATACAGGATTTGGAATTGGAATTGAAAATTTAGTTCAATAATTTTACTTTTTCTCCCTGGTCCATAAATAGAGTTGAAAATATTTGCATTCTTAGTGATTAGAGTTGGCAAAATCAATTATTAGGGAACATTTTTTGGTTGATGCAGGTAAAGTTGGAATCAGTACATCACTAATAATTGTTGCTATTGCTGGTCCAATAATTGTCATGGTGATGCTTTTAATTATTGGCTTCTGGTGCAAAATGAGGAAAGCAAGGAAGAGAGTCGATGCTATAAATAAAACGAATGGTAGTGATCGCAACTGGAAATCAATATGTGTGGAACATTTGTTGCAATCGCAACGACAAATATCAATACATTTACTTTATTGTGGTTGTATAGTTGCAGATGAGATGGAAACAGTGAATTCCATGCAATTTGATTTGGGAATGATTGAAGTGGCCACAGACAACTTCTCTGATCATAACAAAATTGGTGAAGGCGGATTTGGTGCTGTCTACAAGGTAAGAATTAAGTTAGTTTTGATACATGAGATTCAAGAATGCCATATACAATTCAATATTTTCTCTTGTTTCTGAAATTTTGGAACTAATTTTTTTGGATCGAAATTTCATTCTTTATCTACATACTCAGGGAACACTGCCTTACAATGGACAAGAGATAGCTGTGAAGAGGCTATCTAGAAGTTCCGGACAAGGTGCAAAGGAATTTAAGACTGAGGTTGCATTGGTAGCCAAACTACAGCACAGGAATCTAGTGAGGCTGTTGGGATTTTGCTTGCAAGGAGAAGAAAAGATACTCGTTTATGAATTTGTTCCTAACAAAAGCCTTGACTATTTTCTATTTGGTATGGACTATCTCAATACATATGACGACTTAGCACTGAGTAATTGCAGTGAATTGCTAAATTTATTATTTTTAATTGGTCATTTATACAATAGATAAAGGAGTTGGTCCTTCACTTACTTATATTTAACATAAATAACCAATTAAAAACCATTCGGTTAAATAATTCACTGCAAGTATACGGTGTAAGTGTCACTACTATAACTGGATTGGTTTAGTGGGATATGCTATGACTCATCCCTATCATAATGAATGGGATTGATATTCTTGTCGAGGTAGGGATGAGTTTCTTGAGAAGTCTCAAAAAACTCCTTGTACTTAACCATTCTCATTATTAATATACGCACATATTATTGTGTCATAAAGTTTTTCTTTCTATTCTTTTTAATTTAAAGAAGTGTTATATATATATATGTTTAAAGAAGTGCTTTGGAGCATGTCGAGTTCTAAAACTTCAGACATTTGTGTCTTGTGAATATGCCTATTTGACCGAATTGTACCTCATTGTAATGCTGTGTTATAAAAAAAAATAGTCCATGATGCTAGCTTGACTATATATCAATGTGTAGATCCTGAAAAAAGAAAACAATTGGATTGGTCAACACGTTACAAGATTATAGGTGGCATGGCTAAAGGAATTCTTTATCTTCATGAAGATTCTCGACTTAGAATTATACATCGTGATCTAAAGGCTAGCAATATACTATTAGATTTGGATATGAATCCTAAGATTTCAGATTTTGGAATGGCGAGGATCTTTGGCATGGATCAAGATCAAGGGAAGACAACTAGAATTGCCGGAACGTAGTAAGTTTTGAAGCCCTCCATTTACTGCATTTGTTTTTCAGTAGTCTCAATGAATGATATATTATAACTGTACTTCTAGTCTCAAATAGAACTTTTAAAAAGGAGAAGGGAGGGGAGGGGATGGGAGCATAAGAAATTTTGATACATAAGAGACTTCATCAACTTGGACAAAACAAACTTCCTTGTTGTGTTCTTACTTTTGTTCTCGTGATGATGTTGGCTTGCAGTGGTTACATGTCCCCAGAGTACGCAATGCACGGAAAATTCTCCGTAAAGTCAGATGTGTATAGTTTTGGAGTCTCAGTATTGGAGATTATAAGTAGCAAGAAGAATAGTAGTTTCTTCCAATCGGACAGTACTGCTGAGGACCTTCTGAGCTATGTAAATGAAAATTAAACATTGTGATTGTTATATTTCTTTGTCAATGCCAATATATCTGCATCTCAACATTGAAGAACAAAAGGATTACATATATTCTAAATCATCATATATTAATTGTCTCACAGGCTTGGAAACTTTGGAACGAAGGGACTCCCTTGGCATTGATGGATCCAACTCTGGCAGATTCATATTCAAAGAATGAAGTCATCAGATGCATCCATATTGGCTTATTGTGTGTTCAAGAAGATGTGGATGCTAGGCCTTCTATGGCATCTATATTTTTTATGCTCAGTAGTGACTCGGTTACTCTACCATTGCCTCAACAACCTCCATTCATTGTTCATAGCAGAACAGAGTTGGGCATTCCTAATGTGTTTGAGCCGTGGTCTTTGAATGAAGCATCAATTACTGAACTATGTCCAAGATAAATGTTAAATGTTCTTGCAATCAGGGAAGGGTATTTAGGGAAATGAAAAAATAAAATGTATTTTTACTGTAATGCCCAATATACTGTTGTCTAGCGTAGAACATTTGGTTTTGTTACAGGAAAGCTGATCTTAAATTTAAGTGCAAGAGAAGGAATCAATATTACTGTCTTAAAGGACAATTCCATTTTTTATCCTGTCTTGTATTGGACGGTTTTGACCTGCTTCTTAATTCAATTTGAACAGTTAATGAATTTGGGTTTTGACTGCTCTTCCTTTAGATCGATTCTCAAATGTTGGAATATCTCCCCCTCTTATTGCAGACCACCTCCTCGGCCGCCAGACTCGTTCACGGTGGTTTAGCCGCTTCTATGTTACCATCGGATTGTTTTGTAGTGACTCCATTAACATCATCTTACAGTTAATGGTAGTTACCTTGTTTTTTAGTTCGTCCCAATATTGCGCTTGTATGCTGCTGCCTATGTGCTAGCCTTTTTTCTCTTTTGGGCCAAACGCCCAGCTCTTGTATATTCTACTCATGTATGAAAATTGCTTTAATTTTCGAGAAAAAAAAAAAAAAAATTCTTTGTAGGTCCATTTGTTTGGATGTATCAATATCGGTAGCATAACCTTTCTTTCAATTGGGATCCCAGAACATGAAAATTGGTGGCTCGTGAAATAGGGCAATAGGCCCTTAAGTGTAATCAGAGTGATCTGGAGGGATAGAAATGGGCAATAGGCCATCAAGTTTCATTAAGGGCCAGAGAACGTTTTGCTAAATATATAACTAAAAGGGGATGTAATAATAATAATTCAAAACACAAGAAATATAAGTGTAATAAAATCTTAATAAAAGGGAATGTAAGTGTGATTTAAATTTGGTCAAAAGACATAATCACTGAATTACCCAGAACGACAAAAGGACATAATCACTGTAGAGGATAAATAAAAAAGAACAATGCTTTGCCTCAGTCTTATCCTGACGTGGATCACTTCACGTTGACACTTGTCAAAACAAAATTTAAAGAATTTAAAATGAATCAGTCTGATCTTTTTAGGGGTGGTCCACAGAGAAAGAGGGTTGAGTAGGCTTCAGTAGGTGATGGTAGGCATTGTATAATATGTTTGGTCAATTCCGAAATCAGTGATAGGTGGGGGAAAACTCCATGAATTGTTCACAATGAATTTAGCCACCATCGATTGGCAGCTATTTTTGTTGAATCAATCACCCATTTGAGCTATTCTGTGGATCAGAGGCCCTTCTTGAACAAATTGTCCAACCAGAACCTTGTTTTGTAACCCATCGCTCACCTTATGTTTGATCAAAGGCCCGACTGGTCATCTCAGCTGAAGAAATTTCTTCCAATTCCAAGAAGCTTGTTGAGGTATGTTCATATCCCAGAAGTTTCTGCCTCTGATAAGGTTGTGCTTGTTGTGTGTGTATTTCGTCAGACTGCACTGGAGACTTTGGAGAGTCCACCTAATCTTATATAGGGTGTAACTTGGGCACGATAACTCATCATCTTCTTCCTAAAGGAAAGTGAACTCGTGTATGGGGGGGAGGGGGAGCATTTCTAATTTGGCTTCTTCTAATGTTGGGTACCCCCAAAATCTCTCACTCCTCCAAACATCTTTTCTTCTCTAATATGCGCAATTTTCGGCCATCATTGTTGTCGAAGATGATCCAGAGGGACTCCATCTAGATCACGACATGCCGGAGGGTCCGTAAGTGAATCGGTTGTCGGCCGTTTGGGTCAAAACCAGTAAAGCCAGCCTGCCAATTCTTGCCCACGAGTGCCAGTGCCGCACCGCGAGTTCATCACAGCCGAACTCACTACCAAGAAACTCACAGCCGAGTTCTCCTTGCCCACCGATGCCGCACTGTAAGGTCACAATCGACCTATCCACAGCCCATCGCCGGCCCATGCTGCCATCGCCATTGCTGCACCAACAGGCCGAACTAGGAATCCTAACCTAAAATTGCACATCGCCGATTCAGTCCTTGCCACCGATTCAGTCTCACCTTCGTCATCATCATTCTTTGCCGGATTCTCAGCAATCAACATACTTCTCAGATGGCCATCATCCACAGCCACCCTCAGAAACAAATATAACAATCTACAGGCTCTATTTCACAACTTCCTCTGAAGCCGATCAGATTTGCAAATGAATAGAGAGGGTTATAACACTTAGGCAACGTTTAGGTCACATGAGGGGCATTGAGGGTATTTCACGCTGATTATTTATTTTCGTATTTTTTTTCTTAATTACAATGGGTAATTTTGTAAATCTATAATGAAGTCGGCCAGAAAGTGGCCGGAATTGAGCTTCAGCACGAATTTGGATAGCTGTGGTACTGATTTGTTCATTTTTGTAGTCCATGGGGTAAAATGCCGATTTGTGATAGTTTAGGGGGGTTGTTTGCACTTTTGCCTTAAACAAATTTAAGGACAAGGTGGATGAAAAAGTTTTTTTTTTCTTTGGGTGGGGGCCCTGGTGGGTATAATATATGCCTTGATTTAACAAGCCATAAGTTTACGAGAAGAGTCTTATTTAACCCAATAAATAAAAATCTACGATTTTATTGAGTCTATGTAATTATTTATGTGTCAAATATAATAGAACCAATATTAAAATATAAGACAATTAACTATTTAGAAAATTGTAGTCCCCTTTTTTAGATTTCATTTTAATTCAGTATTTTTGTTAGGCGATTAAAATGTCAATCACTATGTATATCAAATTGTGCATTTATTATATATATACATCACATTGCATCGCTATAAGAAATCTTGAGATACTTCAGGCATCTCTTATATATAATTAGACTGTGTATCCATGGTTATATATAAAATATTGTGCATTTGATTATTAATATACATCAATTACGTTGATAGGCATTTGTTAATTGTTATAATGATCAAAAACTAATAATCTATCTTACTCCCAGAAACAAAAATAAGGAGAGGAATTTTTTTTTTTAAATGCAAAGTATTGAAAAATTGTAAAAACATTGTAATGCTTGTTGTAGATTTTGTACAAATCAAATTCTTATATTTGAGAACGATGAAACTTGCTGTGAAAAAAAAAAAAAAAAATGATAATGATACAACCATAATTGGAAAACTAAAAGATAAGGAAATAGGTTGTGAAAAACTGAAAAATAAGGAAAGCAAAAGAGATGTATTTTATGGAAACAAAAAAGAGTAGTAACGATACATCATGCATATTTAAGTTGAAATTTTAGAATAACCAAGTAATATTTTATCTCTGTCGGTTTTTAGTCGGGTATTAAAGTTGTCAAGAATATCATTTTCCTTATGAAAATAAAAGGAGTACTGCTATTTAGCTTGACAAATAAAAACATATTACTTCATCGAGTCTATATGGCTTATGTGTCAAATATAATGAGACACATTTTAAAATATAAGGTAATTAATAATTTGGAAAATTGTAGTACATTTTTTATGTTTCATCCTAATATAGATCTTTATTGACTATTAAAGTTTCAATCACCATGTATATCAAATTGTAAATGTGTTTTGTATATATACATCACTGTAAGGCTATACTTAAGATTGCATCTCCTATATATAATTATATAGGCATTTTTTAATTGATATAATGATCAAAACTAATGATTTATGTGACTCCAGAAATAAAAATAAAAAGAGGAATTTAAAGAAAAATTGCAAAGCATTGAAAAATTGAAAAATATTGCAGTTTTTGCTCTACATTTTGTACCTATCAAATTATTTTATTTAAGTACTATGAAAACGAAAAAGAAGATGATACGATTATGAAAAACTGAAAAGATAAGGGAAGGTGTGACGGCCCAAGGTTTTTTAACCCGATGCGTCAGTGATGAACCGAAAGTTGACCTGGTAATGGATCCGAAATGCGGAAGCAAAAGATGAAATCAAAGTCTTTAGACATATAAACCATCTTTAAGACATCAATGTGACCTTCTATGAAGCCACGAAGCTCAAAGAGGACGAAAGCGGAAACAAAGGTCAAAACGGCCAAAAATTGTGAACCAAGGGGCGAAATGGTCAACTCACCATTAAAAGGAGAGACTTGACTCTAAACAAGTCAAATAAGGTGAAAACAACATAATCTAATCATTTCACAACATTCCAAGAGGTTCTAAGAACATTGGACATGAATCCCTCAAAATGCCCTATCCCGATTGAAGTGAAAACTAATACCCTCTCATTAAAACTTGAATAACTCCCACTGTGATTGGAATCTGAGAATGGCATTAGTACCATTGGAAATCTGACTCAAAATCCATGAATTTAGGCTCAAGAATCACCCCATTTGGATTTAAAACAAAGGAGTTATAGTCATTTGAAGTCGGAAGAACAGTGCTGAAACTGGACTAAAGCTACTCTCGGGATCTACCTATTTTGGTCAACCGAAATGACCCATCGGACAACCGAAATGGACAAAATTTCAGCTAAAAACAATTCTTTAAGGCTTGGTTGGTTTGATACACCAAAAAGAACCATCGGTCGATCGAAATGAGCCATCGGTCGACCGAAATGAGCCTAAATGCTAACTTTGGCTACTGGAAAGTGAAGTTTCAAGGTTCAAACAAAACCCAAAAGGCTTCGGTCGACCGAAATGACTCGAGAAAGTGCACTAACCTCCTGTTATGCATCCATGGCTGAAAGTCCACTTGAAATCCCCCATAGCATGTTCAATTTGCATTATATGCAAGTATGTGATGATGTGAGCATGCACGCAAGTGTAATATAGTAATTTAAACATGTTACAATGGCCCATGGCCTTATTACAACTCATTTACAAAAATTGACATGCTAAACCTCTAAGTTGGAAAAAAAATGCATTTCAAAGGCAAAAATTGAAGTTTACATACATACACTTGAATTTTAAGGTTCGTGGCCCTTGGCCTCATGTCGTACACATCAAATAAGTTCCAAATAGTGTATCTAAGTACACTTTACATATATTAAAGCAAAAGAGCATGTTGAACCTAACTAAGTGTTACAACACCAAAACTAAAGCTTAAACATGCTAACACTTGCATGTGAACAAGAATGCATCAAAAGAAACTTCAAATCTCCAAATCATCCAAGGCAAGTGCAGATCTCTAAATCTCGAATCATGTACCTGAAAAATGTCCCCACTACGTGGATGAGTAACATAAAGCTACTCGTAGGAAATGGGTATACATCGACCTAGCATTTTACAATTATATCACCTTAAGGTGAAACATGTCAAAAGGGCTCATACCACCTAAAGTCTATGTCACAATAAGACTCAGGGAGCATCCTAAGCTACTCATGCTATTTAAGTGAACAATGGCATACAAGTATACATGCTCAAGTACACTAAACAATGTTAAAGCATATTATATGACATACAAGCATACATTCCAAGTATACTAAACCATATTAAGACAAGTCATGTAATGTCTAAGCATCTCTACACAAGTATGCATTTGATATGGAAAACTCATAAATCAAGTACACCACA